AGGAAGATGTGTACCTGGAATAGCTGCAGCAACTCCATGGCCACATCTCTCTAGTTTTCCAGTTCGTTCTCTCTTCTAACCCTCTCTGCAACCTCGTGCAGTCAACAGGCATCATTCCCCTTTTTCATCTGGAGAAGCTGAGGACACCTTGAGAGGCGTGAGAACCTTGGTGCCCTGGGGCTTGACTCCCAGTTCTCTAGACCATGCTGCCCTCTAGTGGCTTTGCACAGCATTTAGGGTTGCCACAGGCTACACAGCGGCCCCCCAGAGTCCACGTTACCCAGTAGCATCTCGCTGGGTTTGCAGACAGCAACACAGCTTCCCTAGGGAGGTATCTCTCCTACTCAGGACTCCCACAGCACATTATCAGCCTCTCTCCCCAGCCCTGAGCATCCTGTTTAGTCAGTATGCTTTATCTCTGCTAGCAGAAGCAACGGAGGGTGTGGAAACCATCTTTGCCCATGGTGCTTTGCTTACACCCAGCACTTGGTAGGAGCCCTCCATCTGTTTTGAGGCAGAAAGAAAGGAGAGGAGGAGGAAAGGAAGGGAAATAACAAACTAACCAAATCCATGGCTGCCGAGTTGATTCCAACTCATGTGTTACAGAGTAGAAGTGCTGCACAGGGTTTTCTTGGCTGTAATCTTTATGGAGGCAGATGGCCAGACCTTTCTTACGTGGCACTGCTGGGTGGGTTCAAACCACCATCCTTTAAGTTAACAGTTGAGTGCAAACCTTTTGCACGACCCAGGGGCCAATGGGACGTAAATGCACTACAGAAATCTCTATGGAAATTTCCCCCTATAGAGAGATTTAGAAATGTGCAGCCCAGAAGACAAAGACATCTTCCCAGAATTTCATCCAGATTCCAAACCTAACCAATAGGAAATAAGCTGAGACATGAAGCATTACAAAACAAGGTTACATTTGCATGATAGGAAAACCTTTGTGACTAAGAAGAAAATTAGCCCTTGACCATGGGGTGGTAGCCTGGCCCCCAGAGTGAGGCCACATGTGTCCTGTTGAACATAAACAACCTCACAGCTCATCCACATCAGACGGGTGGTGCGACTCTGTGACCACGATGAAGTGAGTCAGAAGCACCCCCACTCTGGGGCCATGTTCCGAGCACAGCACCTGTGCGAACCCTGTACCCGTGTTCATCCCAGCAGGTCACAGCAGCCAGAAGGTGCAAAGAAGCTCAGTGGCCATCAACAGATGAATGGACAAACAAGATGTGGTGTGTGCACACCATGGAGAACTGCTCAGGTAACGAGAAAAGTCCTTATATGTGCTGTAACATAGGTGAACCCAGAAAACATCCTGCTGAGTTAAAGAAGGGGAAAAAAAAGAAAAAAACACTGCCATCAAGTCGATTCTGACTCACAGCAACTCCCATTGGGTTTCCAAGGTGGTACATCTTTACAGAAAGATTGCCCAGTCTTCCTTCCGCAGAGTGGCTGGGGGGTTTGAACTGCCAACCTTTCGGTTAGCAGTCAAATGCAAATTGCCTGACCTCACTTATATGAAATAAGCAAGTATATGGAAGTCAAAGATTATTACTCAGGGTGGGAGGGAGAGGAAAAGGTGGAACGTTTGCTCAAGGGACACTGAGTTTACGTTAACGGTGGTAGAATAATTAGGGAAAAGATAGGGGTAAGGGTTACACAACATGAGGGATGTAATGCCATTGAATTGTGCATGGAGGAACCGTTGAATTTGTGAAAGTTTTGTTGTGTATATTGCAGCATAATAAAAAGTGTTTTAAAATGATGGATGCGTCCTATCTGTCTGAACCACTGCTGTAGTACTGTGTTCTAGATAAAATACATTGTTTCCCAACCATAGAATTACCCATGCCTTCTCTCAGCACACATCCAGAGCAAAGCCCCACTCCCTTAAACTCATATAGTGAGTCAGTCCCTCCTAACACCCATTTGTTTCCTGAGACATCCCCCTGTTCCCGTGCTGTGCAGCCACCCTTGCTGCCATGACATAACAAACCCAACCTTGCTGCCTACACACACGTTCCTGGTGGTCTCTGATGGATGGGCATCCACACGACCAACGAGGAGCGCTGATAAAAGGAGAGCTGGCTGGAGGACTGTGATCAGCACGAGATGGGGCAGGGCACCTGGGAACCAGGCGGGAATCTCACGAGCCCAGTGCTGCTCTTTCCATCACAGCCACTCTGAAAGGGAGCTGCATTGTTCGTTCCCATTTTACAGATGGGGAAATCAAGGCTCAGGGGGTTAGTAACTTGCCAACATCGAGTACCAGAGCCAGGTCTGAGACCTGAGCCTCTGCTCCCAAATCCAGCACACTCAAGGTCCCTGGGTAGTACAGCTGCACTCAGCTAGTAACCCACACGTTGCCAGTTTGAACCCACTCAGTGGCACTGCCAAAGAACCAGGCTTGGGGAGTGGCTTCCATAAAGACAATAGCCAACTTGACTTTGAAACCTATGGTGTCTCCCCAGTGAATACAAACAAAATGCCCCAAGTCCAACTCCCTACCAAGCACCTTCTCTGGAGCTGCACCCACTAAGCAAGCCGGCTGTACGCTTATGAGTTTGTGGTGAGGTGATAGGGTGAGTAGTCCCAGTCAAGTGGAGAGAGTATACCCTGTGGGCGGATGTTGACCCCGCTGAAGAATTTGGTGGCCCAAGAATTCTCTGCACCAAGAGGAAGCCTCCACACAGACTCTGGTCACCCTGCAGCCAACCCCACTGCTGGTGACCTGTGTCCAGGATCGGCACACTTGTCTCTCATGAGTGTGGCTGGTGTGAGTCCTTATTGCTCAACACAAGGAGGAAGATGAGCTTCTTGGCCTGCTGAGCTGAGCCCCACTCATGCAAACAGGAACTTTCTGGATACCTTACCCCATGCCACCTTGAGCAGACGCCCAGCAGAAACATTTCCCCAATGCCACTGCCAAAGAGTGCACCCACCAACCCCCTAAACCCCAATGCCATCAAGTTGGATCTGAGTTAGAGAGACCCCTCCTTGGGTTTTCGAGGTGGTATCACACGGATGTAGGTTGCCCAACCTTCCTTCTAAGGAGTGGCTGGTGGGTGTGAACTGCCAGCCTTCTAGTTAGTAGTCAAATGCCTTAGGCACTACGCTACCAGAGCTTCCACCAACCCCCTAGGCCAATGTTTCCATATGTGAGATCTTAGGTGGAAAACAGACAAATTTCTAATCATTAAGTATTTATTTTAAGGTATAATAGGAAAAACAACTAGCATGTCGATGTGTGGCTATGTGGGTATATTGCTTAGCACAAGGCTCAAGGTAGAAAAGAGTAAAAATGATTTAAGAAAAATATTAAGGCAATAACAGAATAGGTGGTCCTTGGTTATGACAAGTGTCCAGGTGATGTGAATACCTACAGTGTGGGACTCATTGCTCTAAGCTTAAGACATAAAGCTGTGCTCCGGCCTGAAGCCCCGAAGGCATCTACAGAAACTCTCCCAGGTCTGCGGTATCCAAGGGTCCTCACAGGCACGTGTGCTCCCTGACAAACTTTCCAAGGAGGAAAGCACATTGCACTTCATTTCTTCA